ATAACAGCTCTCAGTTTTGGGGTGCTGGAACGTGTAGGATGTCTGGAAGCATTTGGAAGAGTTTAGGAGAAAGCTCCTGTCACCCAGGGTGGGCTATGGGCTCACCACTAAGTGAAGATGATAGCAATTTAAACACTGATGTAGATTTACCTGTGCCACTGACCTGCCCCAGAACTATAGACCCTGTTGTGTTAGAGGAGATTTGGCAGAAGAACAGAGTGTATCGGTGGCATGAGCTATGTGGTTGGGAGCCAACAAAATAGGACCGTTAATAAAAAACCATCCAGAGTTACCTGGGGCCATTATCTCCCAGGGTCCTTCTGTAATCAGTGGAGAGAGAAGTTTGACCCAAGCAGAAGCCTAACGTGGCTGTTCTGCACGCCCCGGAGGACCCCGCTCTTGACTGACTGTACCAGGAGTTCAGTGTGAGGAGTTCTTCTAAACGACAATTAGCTTTTGTGAATCCCCTGTTAATTCCCTGAGTTCCCGAGCACCTAGACTTCTATTGTCGTGTCTCTGTGTCTCTTTCAGGGGTTGGAATGGGCATGACTGCTCCTGTCTCCATCACTGCTTTTCCTGAGGCTCCTTACAGCAGAAAGTGAAGGTCTCTCTGAGGATCCCGAGCCAGTTTCAAGCCAACCCTCCTTGTCCTAGCGATGAAAGCATTAAGATTGAAGAGAGACAGGGGATGACCATTTATTCCACGTAAGGAACACATCCTGGGATTTCCAGTCCCAAGTGCTGAGGTCTCTAGCGTGCTCTGAAGAGCAGTGTTGGTTTTGTCAGGTGACTTGCTGGACAAGGGGTGCATGTGGTAGAAGGCGATGGAGGGGTCTTTCTAGACTGAAGACAGGTGTTTTATGTGATTTCCTATCATTGGTCATGCTGCACTGATTTGGAATATGGATTTTTTTTTTCACTGGGAAAGCAAGTGCAGAGGTTAGTTTTGAAAGGCTTTTTATTTCACCTGGAGAGGTGAAGAGCAGGGGAGGGTGAATATGAAGGTACTGAGTAATTTCTAAGCTCTGAAAACTACTGTTTTCTCTGGATCTGGGATCAAGAAGGTTCTTTGTCATCGAGAATGTCCTTTGATGTGGTTCCTATCCAGCTACATGTGTCAGCTGAAGCCTAGTTTAGATGGACTCGTGCCAGAGTCCACCATGGAAACAAGCAGCCTTTGCATAGCCTCACGTCACCTTTGAATGTCTTTGGCTGTTGACTGACAGCCTGGACTCAAACTAGCATCACAACAGCAGTAAGCTCTTCACCTTGTATTTAAGCCCTTGGATGTTCCCCTGCTTCCTTGTTTGAACTATTTCGACCCTAAACTGTCTGGCTCCTCCCTTGCCTGCGATGGCTACCTGGCCTTTGCTCCAGGCATGGGCCACTCAAGCAAGAACAGGCTGTTTTGTCTCAAGCCTTGGCGCTGAGGCAGGGCGATGAGGTGCAGACTGATGTGGAAACAATTCCTGTTGGTGGGAGGTCAACATAAACCAGACCAATTCCATCTCACCCCTTTTAAATAGCATCGGGGGCTGTAATTGCTAACATCTCTGTTCCTACCTCCTCTTTTCCTTGGGCGAGCTAGAGTTTGGTTTCCCTTCATGATCTGGCTTCCAGCAGATGGTTGTTCACACCACAGTGAACGTGACTGTTGACGGCGTTGGTGTGAGGGCTGTGGGCTGAGCAGACTTGGAGATAACCTCGTGTTCTAGGAAGCGGTTCCTCCGATGTGGCGTTGATTCAAAGGGCAGGGCCGTTCTGCTGACTGATATACGTGGGTCTGTTCGGGGGGGGGTCTCTCCAAGGTCTGCCAATGGATTACTGCGCCCTGGCTGTGTAACCCTTGAGACTTAATCCATCACAGACAAAGTGTGCTGATTCATAAAGAACAGTGCCTGCATGAGTGCATGTTGGCGAGACCTGGACCGAAATGCGTGGCTAAATATATGGTGGCTATATATTGTTCTCCCTCTCTTCCATTCTGTGCTTTGCCAGGACTGCTCAGCACCTCTCCGTGTTTGGTTTCTTTGCAGGCAGTTTGGTGGCTATGCCAAGGAGGTGGATTACGTGAGCTATGCTGCCAAGCTGAAGTCTGCGCTGGGGAGTGAAGCTGCATACCGCAAGGATTTCTACCTCTGCAATGGTTATGACCCCCCTATGAAGCCTTACGGGCGACGCAACGAGGTCTGGTTTGTGAAGGAGTGAGCGTCTGGCTCCCCGCGGGGCTGGCTGGCACTGATAACCTCCCCATGCTATGTTCCTGTCCTCTTTGAAATAAACTACTAATTTGGCAGAGACAGAAAACCGTCGTTCCCTTCCTCCACACCTATACCTTGGTCTTTAAGGACGAACCATTTTAGAAGGATGCTGCAGACCCCCCTGACGGTCCTGCTCCTTTGTTCCAGGCCGGCTCCTCAGCCACATGGACTCTCGTGGTCTCTCCGTGGCTTGCTTTTATCTCCCTCCTACTCCCAAAGTTCAATGCTGAGACAGCCAGAAGTACTTAATTAGCGAGCGCAGTGCCTGGCAGGAGTCACATCCGAGCGCTGGCAGGCTGCTAGTCTCACCTGAGGCGGGCAGGGGAACGTGACAAAAGTGCATACAGGGACTTTCTTATCTTCTCGAGCTTGCGGCAGCTGTAAAATGCTGCTTTTATCTGTGCCATTCCAAAAGCAGTCCAAAGGGAGGTGGGCACTGCCACCACCCCAGCGCAGTGACAGCGAGCATCCTTTACCTTGGCTCGCAGCGTGCAGGAGAGCAGCGCTGCTGTCGTCAGACTGAGAAATGTCATTGAGAGGAAGATCCAGGTTTCTGTTTGCAGCTGTCCTTCTGTTTGAGGTGAGACCTTTTGGGGTGTGTTACGTCCTGATCTCAGCTAGCAGCTGGACAACGTGACGTGGGGACCCCGAGATCGATTCCTCACCTTCCTGTTACTTGTGTGTAACATGTCTTTAAAACCAGCCTACAGAAGGGCCAAAGCTGAAATGTGTGCGGTAATCTAATTGAATTAGAAAAATACAGGCTGTGAAAAAAGCAGGTGCCCATTACTTGTGATCTGAGGGTGCATTTGAAGAATGGTGAGCATCTACTGGAACTACTGTGGGTACAGATCTTTAAAAAGCCCTCTCTCTTAAATGGTGTTAGTTTCTGAAGGACTACTTGGAGAAGCAGTCTTCTTTAAAGGAGGAGCTGTTCTTGAAACAGAGATTTATGTCAAATAATGAGTAGCCTTTCAGAAACTTGAAATACAGTAGCAAGGGTGGGTCTTGTTTAGGAAGACCGGCAATGTTTAGCTGTTAGGCTCTGCCAGGGAGGCAGCAGGATGCCCACGGTGGGAACCCGCTCACCGTGCTGCTCTGGGTGCCCGTATAATTCGTCACCTCCGCTAAAAGAGGTGTGCTCCTCTGATGCTTAAGTGCCCCAAAGTTCCAGCCCTTTCCGAAAGCCATTTTCCCCCTGGAGCTGCGAGATCTGTGGGATGGCATCCCAGGTTCTGGGCGGTCGAGCTGTTTGACCTGTGCCTGCTTTCCGAGAACAAACCTGCGGTAGGAGGTAAACCTGAGGTTCTGGTGTCCTTTCCCTTTCTCTCTTGCTGAGCCATGTAGGAGCTTTGCTGTGGACCTCACGAGAGAGTTTGTCACCTGTCTAGTCAGGGAGGGTAAAAACAGCAGATGCCATTTAATTTTCAAAAACCCAAAAGGAAAGCTGTTGGCCGCAGTTGGTGATTGCGGTGCAGGGGAGGAGAAGTCAAAAGGGAAATCGGGGCAGGCAAGGAGTGAGGCTTTTGAAGGAGTCTTTTAAGGAGCAAAGGCCCTTCCAAGGCTGTCCCTGATCCAAAGGGACCTATTCCTGTCCCAGATTATTTTTACCTGTGTAGGTGAGGAGCGGAGGAGCGCAGTGCTGCCCAGTTTATGCATTCTCGGGTTCATTTTGGACCTCGTGTGTAGACTGGGTACCGTCCTTTCTGGCTACCGATGGTGAATGTCCGGCAATGATCAAAATCCTGAAATTTTCTCAAAATTTCTCCTGTGAAATCTCACATGTTAGGAAGACTAATAATAAACCTGATATGGGCAGAGCTGCACATCTCAGCCACATACTGTGGGTTTTTTTCATAACGTGTACACTTGGAGCAGAGCACGAGAGCTTCTGACCCAGCAGCGAGAGCCCTGCTGCTGGCCTCGTGCATGCAGGAGGCAGGGAACGGTTTCGTGAACGGGGTTAACTGGCATCAGAAGCTTATGCAAACCAAATTGCTGTTTCTGTACGTGCAGAGATGCCTGTGTTCTGTCTGCATTTTCTAGAGTTTTTAAATAAATAATAATAATAATACTGTGATTTACAATGAGCTTGCTGATGGTTGACTTTGTGAGCTCAGTGGGAGTTGTTGATTTTAAAGACTTTAGGTTGCCGGTTTATCTTTCTGTTTGGGGTACTAATCGTGTCGCTGCATCTATAAATAGTCATCACACTTTTTCCCATAAATTGCTATTTTAGGTACCGTGGTGTGGCCCTGCATTATCTGACTGTGTGAGATGGGAGCTGCTGGAGTAATCTCCTTCTTCGTTGGTTCCAGACGCTGAGAGGCTTATACTGATGCATTTGTGTTAATGTAGAAACCAGGGAGCCTGCTCACCTGAGGAAAATTGTGTGTTCACTTCTGTGTTCCCGTGGCTGGGGTTCACAAACAGCGGTCAGGCAAATACTGATGACTGATTTTCAGCATGACCTCCTGTCCGGAGACATCAGACATCGTCACGCTGAGGTCCATCTAGCTCAGTGCCTGCTGCCAGCGATGGACAGCAGCAGACACCCAAGAGAGGTTGCAGGATCAGTGCAACTGGGCGCTGATACCTCCTCTAAATATTTCCCTCTCTCTGGTGGGAATGTGGCTCAGGGGTTTTTGTTACTGTGCTTGGCGGACCCCCATAGACTCTGTCCCATCCATTTGACCAGTTGGTTTTTAGACATAAGGTGAACTTACTATCCGTGGCATCCGTTTGTCCTATGGCAAGGAGTTCCTTGCATGTGGAGGAGCAGAAACGCTCCTTGGCTGAGGGTTTCCAGCGGGTTGTCTCTCTGCTCCGTAGGCAACTGAGTCAGGCAGCTTTGTGATGTGCCTGCATCCCTGCAAGCGCATGTTTGGGCGGCCGGAGTGGCCGTTGGGATCAGAGGGTTTCCACCAACCTCTCTGTGCTGGGGCCAGGAGTCAGAGGTGCGCTCTGGGTTTTGACCCGAGGCAGCATGGTCACAGCCGCTCCGTTACACGTGATTGACCCCAGAACTGATGTTAAAAAGAAAAAAAAAAAAGCTTTTTCTCTGCCCCCTCCAGTATTTGTTCCCCAAGGGATAAGAGTGCAGCAGGTTGCCTAGAGACCTCCTTGCTTCTCTTCCCTGCCTGTGCGGTGCCCTTTTCAGTCTCAGGCAAACACTGAAAAGGGGACGTTTTGGTCCTTTTCTGTGGGCGCACGGGGTGGAGGCTGCATCGCTGCCCATGGCCCCTTTCCCCCGCCTCGCTGGGCCGGGGGGGTGATGGCCTCGGGGGCGATCTCTGCCTTCCAGAGACAGGAGCAGCCTCGCCGTGAATTAGCGGCCGGACAGGTCCATCCCAGTGCCGCGCAAAGCAGCGATGTGATGGCGATAGGGCCGGCCATGGGAAGGGCCGCCTTTAAATAGAGCCTGATTCAAAAGTGTAATCTTGGTGGGAATTATGTGCATGTCATGTAGATTTAGCTGTGCTGGATATACCGGCTTCCTAAGCTACTCCGCTTGTTAGTGATCTAATCTGGGAGAGTTTTCCTGCTGGCCTCAATGGTGGCAAACCATATATATTTTTGTGTGTAAGTATCTGTATATGTATGCGTCCATGTATAAGTACATGTATATGTATCTGTGTAGTATATACGTAGGTGCCTCCAAGCCCCCTGCTTTGGTCTATGAGTTGGCTTCTGCGGTCACTGAGTAACTCGCTAATGCGAACACAGCCGCGGGGCGAGGTTCTTTCTAAGTCTGCTGGAGTGGGGAGCTTTGTTAGCTTTGGAAAGAAATACTGTCTTTTGTAGACACATGCCTAAATGTATCTAACACTGCATTAAGAAGACAACAGCCTTTATAAAAGGGCTAATTGGTTAAGTTGTCCGTATAAATCTGGCCAGACTTCTAATACTCTAGTCACTTTGAGGGGATGGGTGATTTATGGTGAACGGGGAAGTAACATCATTATTTCCCCATTTTCATCAATCACCATGGCGAAGGGTGCGTGAGCAGCTATTGTGCTTGTGGTAGCAAATTTTCAGGTTTGCAAGGCTGCCCGAAGGCGGTGGGACAGGGCCTGAAGATGGTGGCTCCCAGCTCACATCGTCCCTCCTGCTGTAATTGCAATAATACCTCTTTTACAATAGCACCCTGAGCAGTAGCTCTCTTTCTTCTGTGACAGCATTTCAACCACACTGAGCTAAAAAAGAAATGCATCTCTCTTAACAGGACCATAAGTAGCTTTGGATGTGTAACACCTCTACAAAACTGCTTGGCAACATGATTTATTGGAGCGGGATCAGTGGTAAAAGTGACTTCTCTGACAGTAATAGATGAAACACTTCCAGCGTAGCTACGCGGTCCCTGCTTGGTGCCTGAGCCAGCAGCAGGCTGGTTTTGTCAGCTCATTCATAATCTCTGCTTTGCTCTCAGCAGAATCTGTTGCACAAGACAGGTTTCAGCTGCGGCAGATGCTTTTTTTCTAGGTCCTTTGTGGGACCTGCTGCAGAAGATGGGTCAGTGCAAATGCTGCTTGATTCCTAAGGTGCTGTCTGTCTAGTTGCCCCTCCAGACCCTACACCGAGGTGAGAGGTGGGTGCATGCATCCCCTACCCCCCCGCTGCCCACCCCCCAGTTCCCGTGAGGAGAAGCTGAAGGGGGTGGCGGGAGCCGCTCTGTTCTTGGACCGAGCGTGAGGTCTGGCTCATCAGCAGCCTGCGGTCCCGGGGCATCCTCAGACGGATCTTCTGAGCAGTCCCGTTGAGAAGATGGGGTCTAGGAGCCTGAATTTTAGGTGCAGATTTTTCAAAAGTGCAAATGGAAGTGAAAGATCCCAGAAACCACATCCTGAGAGAGACCACTGGGATTTAGGTGTTTCAGTGGCTTTGAGGATCTGGATTCTCCTGCACAGAGATCAGCTCACAGCCGTGTAACCAGCACAGGACCAGGCC